CATAGAGCATGCAAGAATGTATGAATAACTATGAACCTTCCTCGTAGGGATTTACAACATATTCTGAAAGAGTTTTTCTGTTTTTGCATAATTGCTCCAATAATTGTTCTCCTTCTTGCTCTGGGGAGTCACGTAATCGCTTCAGAATAGATTTAATATTCTCCGCCCGTTGAATATTATTTGCTCTGATTGGTGTCGTATTTCTTTCATAATCAGATACACTATAATTTTCCGTAGATTTTCCAGTTTTTGACTGAAATTTGTCAGATTTCTTAGTCGCTAAGTGTTTCATATCATCAATCGCCTTTTTCGAACTAACGGGAAAAGATTTTTAAATTCCTCTGTCGTCCATTTTAAACAATTTAACCTGACAATTTTGACTGGTATTTACAAGACCCAAATCATCAGCGTACTGTTTGAGTAGACGGTCTGCCGGTGGAAGCCTTTCCTTGAGAAAAATTTGTTTGTTGTTATTCGGGTTTCGAATGTTAGCCAATCAAGATTTTCTGTTGTAGATTTCACTTTTTTCCCCAAAATATAAAAATTTAACTATCACAGCTGGAGGATAATTGATATTTTTCCACGTTCCAAGCAAGTGACAGGCTTTAAAATTACTCGGGCTAGTTTTATACTGAAGAAATTGGGCCAAAAAATCGCATACCTGATGTGACAACGGTACCTGATTGTTTACTATTGGCAGGTTCTCCAAAATTAGGCAATCCATAGAAGAATACCTTTCCTGTGCAGATACTCTTTGCTCCAAATCATCCACTTTGTTCTCAAGATCTAGAATAATCTCATCTTTTTTGCCCAGATTCGTCAACAATTTATCGAAAATCTGTCTCACATTGGTGTTGGAAAATTTTTCCAGCATCGAGGAATACATATCTTTCTCAAAACGTGATCCCATGTTAAAGGAACTCTCAGTTAAATACAAAAGTTTGGAATTAGTAGTAAAGAAATTTCACACGTAAAGAAAGAATTGAGAAATTCGAAGCAAAACAATTTGTTTAAACGCGGCAAGAAAAAGCGACTATTCAGCGCTGCTCATTTTGCTCTTTTTTGATTTGGGTTCTGTGTTCATTTTGATTGCGGAGATTTAGCTACTGTCCTTACGGGTTGACCTCCATAAACCGAAAATGCTTATCTGACATTTCCCCACACCGAAAATGCTTATCTTACAATTTCCTACATCAAATTTATGGAAATTGGTAGTCATACAATTTTCATATAATTTCAAAAAACCAATGAAAAAAGATTCGATCTTGTTTCTCCGGCTATTTGAACCAAATAAAACAGTCTGGTGATGAAAAATAACTACGTTTAGTTTTTTTTTGGACAAAAATGGTTATCATATATTTTCCATATACGAAAATTGCATGATAACCATTTTTTCATAAAAAATTTTTTTTTTCAGAAACATGTTGAAATTTGTTTTTAATCAAATTTAAAGTAATTAAGAGTGCTTTTGCTCAATTCAAAGCACCTTCCTCATCAAAAACGAAAACTTAGTTTGAAGCTAAAAAATGTTATCATACAGTTTCCATATATGAAAATTGTATGATAACCATTTTTTTCATAAATAACAAGATTTTCAGAAACATGTTAAAATTTGATTGTAATCAAATTTAAAGTAATCAAGAGTGCTTTTGCTCAATTTAAAGCACTTTGCTCATCAAAAACCAAAATTTTGTTTGAAACTAAAAAAAAATGGGTTATCATACAATTTCCATAAATGAAAATTGTATGATAACCATTTTTTCATTAAAAAAGCAAGATTTTGAGAAATTTGTAAAAAAGAACCGGATAAGCATCGGTAACTCCCAAAGCAGTATAGGTGTGGACTTTAACTTGGTATAGGTTTGAGTAATATGAGCCAGTCGTAAATGATAGTTCTTTATAAGCAGCACTCAGAAATTTTATTGCGGTTTTAATTATGGGGTGGCCGATCTCAATTTGGTCACAATAATGCTTACATGGTCTATACAGAAACCAACATAAAAATGATCGCGTTTTTGGCTCGTGCTTCCCCCCATTGTTAGGATTATAAAAAGATTGTTATTTTTACCTTGGATAGATGCTACACATTTTCGAAGGACAAATTTTTTCATTTTTGACGACAGATGACAGCCAATGTAGCTGTCTCCGAGAGCTCAGTGTTATTTGATTATGTAAACCTACCAAGGAAGCGTTGGAACCGGGAGCAAAGTTTTCCTGGGGTGTTTTTTTATTTAATGAAATTGTCGACATAAAATCGGTAATTTTTGCATTGTTTTTGTCGTGATAATGGAACTTATGGTGTTCTCTACACGTTGAAACTTATCAGACTCGCCTAAAATTGCTCATTACCGTTTAGACAATAGTTGATAATACTCTCAGAAGGATTTGGTTTGTCTAAAAGTTCACTTTGGAAAAAGGTTGTTGTTTTTCCGTTGGCTAGATGCTACACATTTTCGAAGGACAACTTTTTCCTTTTTTGACGACACATGACAGCCAATGTAACTGTCTCGAAGAGCTCAGTGTTATTTGATAATGTAAACCTATCAAAATAGCTTTGGAAACGGGAGCAAAGATTTGCTGGGCTGTTTTTAATTTGATGAACTTATCGACAAAAAAAATCCCTAGTTTCCGGATTGTTTTTGTCGTGATAATGGAACGTATGGGGTTCTCTACACTTTGAAACTTATCAGACTAGCCTAGAATTGCTCGTTACCGTTTAGAAACTAATTGATAACACTCTCAGAGGAGTTTGGTTTTTTTAATAGGTCACTTTTTAGAAAGATTGTTGTTTTTCCTTCGGATAGATGCTACACTTTTTCGAAGGACAATTTTTTCCTTTTTTGACGACACATGACAGCTAATATGGGCGTCTGAATGAGCTCATGCTTATTTGATTACATGAACTTCCAAATAATCGTTAGAACCGGGATCAAAGTTTTGCTGGGGTGTTTTTAATTCATTGAATTTGTCGACATAAAATCAGTAGTTTTCGGATTGTTTTTGTCGTGATAATGGAACATATGGGGTTCTCTACACGTTGAAAACTTTCAGACGAGCCTATAACTGCTCCTTCTCGTAGAGACCCCAGTTGTAACATTCTCCGAAGGAATTGGTTTTTTATAATAGGTCATTTTTAAAAAGATAAAGATCAGATTTTTTTTACTGTAGTTGCGCGCCTTTATTTAGTAGAATTCTTTGTCAATTTTATGTTTTTCGATGCACTTTAATAATTTGGTCGTCTTTTTATTAAAAACCAGGGGCGGATTTTATGGGGATGGGGGTGGACGCCCCCCTTCCTCAGGGATTCGACCCCTGCCGATCCGAAGGGTCCCAATTTTTGTACTTTTTTGAGAAATCCAGTTTTGGCCGACCGACGCTAAAATTTTTAGAGAGGCGCCTTGGGCGCCCATATATAGTAATTTTGAAGGGAAGTGCGCGCCAAAAAAACGCATTTTTTTGTCAAAATTTTCCAAAAAGTGACCAAAAACGGCTTTTTTTACCTGTTTTTTCAAAAGTTTGCTCGACTTTTATTTGAAACTCAATTTGGTCGACTTAAAAAAAAATCGAGAGAAAAGATCGATTGAAAATCTGCCCCCCCCCCCCTCGAGAAAATCCTAGATCCGCCCCTGTCAAAAACAACTAACCACGGATTTTTTGTCAAAAGAAAACCCAAAGGGTAACTGGCAGTTACCCTGCAGATAAACTGCATTTAGTCATATTAGCAATTTAAGTCAGCTATAACATTTTCACATGGAAATATATACCAAAAATGTAACTTTTTGTATATGGCTAGATTATTTTTGGTTTGAAGTTTTGGTGTTTGAATATAGTTTTGAAATGACAAAATTTCGGCAAAATAAGAGATAGAGATTGCAACAGATTATAATCGATTATAATTGATTTTAAGGGTTTTTGTAAGAACTATAATCAATTATAATCAACTAGAAGAGATCATAATCTCCTGGAAAATATCACAAATATTATCAATTATAAATCTTTCAAACACCTAATTTTGGTAATAACAATCAATTATCATTGTCAAAAAATCATCATAATAATCCGTTATAATAGATTACTTACGCCTAAACTTGGATGCGGGCGATGATAGAAAAAAAAACCGAACATTGAGGCTTATTAATAATTATTTGCGCGTGGCATGGCTTTTTTCATTCAATCTCCGATTTTTGAATTATCAAATATTGGCAAATTTTTTTTCTATACAGTCTGCAAACTTTTGATACTCCGAGCTCAGCACTAAAAAGATATTTCAACTGTGTTCAATTTTTGTAAACTTATACGGATTTGAAATTAAAACTAAATTGAAGAATATGATTGTGGCTATAATTGTGCAAGATATAGTGCAAGATAATTGTGCAAAATAATTGTGCCGTTTTTTTTGCTGATTTCCTGTCAAATTTATGTTTTTTGAAGCATTTTAGCCAGCATTTTATCATTAACAACTAAAATTAATTATTTATTCATGTCTTCTTCATCAAAGTTTCCATTGTTTCAAATCTATTCTGATCTGTATTTTTTTTTCAATTGATTGTGAAACTCATTTGTTTTGTGATTTACCGTCTTATGATAATGAGGGATGTGGTATCTGACAATAAAGATCTTGTAACATCGGCTCATAATGTGAGTTGTGTGTTCATTTGAATGTGGATTCTGATCATTTCTCTCCCACATCTTGTGTCGATTTTCACAATTCTATTAACTATTTCACACCATTTTTACCAAAGTATTCAATTACTTTTTACTCGCAAAACTCTGGTCTGATCTGTATATTTATTTAAATGTGGATCCTGTCACACTGTCCCCGTTTTTCCCGCGTCGCTTTTCAGCATGTATATACTATATTCTAGACGTCAATTTTATCAAACTATACATTTAATTGATTAATTATTAATAACAATTTTTCCAGTACATTATGATATCAGATTTTAATATAACTTCTGTTTTTTGTAACTTAGTTGGGGGTGCATTTATTTGAATGAGACCCCTGACCCCGCACTGTCCTTGTACATCTCCTGGGGGATGTTCTTGAGTATCTCGGCTGTGATGTTGGTGGCGCTGTTGAGGGTGGCGTTGTTGCTGCTCGTGGACATGGCCAGGATGTTCATGCCTCTCCTCTTCACCTCCGAGCCACTCTCACTTGCACTACCCTGAGCCAAGTTCGACACTGCAAGTGAAGATATTAAGTTATTAGTTATATTAAGTTATAAGAAGTTATTAAGTTAATAAGTAATAAATTAATATTATATCGGTGAGTGTACAAAAAAGCCCATAACTACAAGCCGGCATATCTTAAATACGAAATGACATCAGAATAACGTAAACTGGGTAATTTTATAATCCAGCCGAAGTATAAACCAGCCGAAGTATCAACAAGCCAAAAATACGTAAGTGTTATATAATAGCTATGCACCATTTATGCGAATTTCATTCGTATGACGAAAATTTTAATCTGGTTTTTATACTGTGCTTATTTTTGGTTGGTTAATACTTCGCCTGGTTTATTTTCTTCCGTAAATTGCATAAGAGTTACGAAACAATTGCAACAACAAAGACAATCTGTTATTATGTTGAGTAACAATATTTATTTTCGGCTAGTTAGAATGGTTATCTTGTTTTCGGTTTGTTGGCCCTTCGGCTTCTTGGCTTGTCACCAAATTATCAAATTTTACTCTGCAGCAGATAACGTTAATTAACTATATAGATAAAAAGTTATCAAACTTTATTTTACATTAAATAAATTCTGTAGCCGAGGGTTGGACAACGCAAATAAAGGGTTAATTGATTACAAAGTAAACTGCTACGAACTCTTATTCTGCAGTGAAAAAAAAAACGAAATAATTTTCTAATGAGGAGCAATGAAATGGACATTAAATTAAATTATAATTTTTCCATATCTAAGAAAAAAAAAAACATTTTCCTTGATTCAGACAGGGTTCGGGGCCAAGTTGGGCAAGACATTTTCGGACAAACACAGTAGCTAAATATTTGATAAACATTTACAGTAGAAATGAAGTTAAAGAAAAATCTTGAAAAGAAGAATACATTTATTTTGTTATAAACTAATAATTTTGCTTTTGAGTTCCTTCAGCAGGTAATAAAACCATAATTTCAGTACATTAGTACCTTAATTAGTATCATTGGCTTTGAGCTTAGAAAAAAATATATTATAAAAAAAACTTGAGAACTGAAGTAAGGCATTTTGAGTTTTTTATTATCAAGTCGCAGCTAAGAACACGTTCTGTAATGTTTTTTTTGGACTGGTTTTGTATTTTTGAGAAATGTTTGCAATAAATTGACAAACAAAAATTTGCTCCTCATGCATTCAAAAAGTGGTAAAAAATTCAGCGTTTTGTCGTAGTTTTTCTATAACAAAACTCTTTTGCGGTAAATGCGTGATGGTTTGAATATTTTTAGCCGACACGCCCGCATCCAGTTTCAAGCGTTAATAATCGATTATATTACGATTTTAGTACCAGTCTTACTAAATTGAGAAACAATCGATTTTAATCAATTAATAATCGATTATAACCTCTCGTTTTAAAATCAAATTATAATTAATTATAATCCATCATAATTGATTGTAATTGATAATTTATTCGTCCATTTTTCGATACAATTAAAATCGATTATAATTGATTATAATCTTTTATTTTTTTCAAATTTCCAGTTCATTAGTTTTGCACAAAAGTCCATTATAATCGATTATAATTGATTATAATCCCTTTTGTTAGTCCATTTTGTCTTCGAAGTTGCATCTATATTGTTTACATTTTTATGCTTTTTGTAGACGTTGGTTCCTATGAAAAATGAGGAAAATATTTTAAAAGTTTTTCAATTAATTCAAATTTTTAAGTTTTTTTTTCATTTTTTTCCCCACTGAAGTTGTTTTGTGAACATATTTCAAACTTTTTTAAACGCCAGCAAATTTGTTACTTTCATGGTTTTTTTGGAAGATTTTTTTATTTTTCATCTATCGCGAGAACCTTTCCTTTCATATGAAAGGATCTCTATGAAATTTTTGTTTCGTGGTAAAACTTGGTGTTCAGATGCACCAAAGTGTTCAAGAGATCTCTCTTTTAGAGATATTCTTATTGACACAAAATAATAACCCATAAGATATAATTCGAATATAGTTTTGAAATGACAAAATTTCGACAAAACAAGAAATTGCAACTGATTATAATCGATTATAATTAATTTTAAGGGTTTTTGTAAGACCTATAATCAATTATAATCAACTATAAGAGATTATAATCTCTTGGAAAATATCACAATTATAATCATTAATAAATCCTTCAAACACCTAATTTTGATAACTATAATCATTTAAAATTGTCAAAAAATCATCATAATAATCCGTTATAATAGATTACTTACGCCTAAACTTGGATGCGGGCGATGATAGAAAAAAAACGAACATTGAGGCTTATTAAGAATGATTTGCGCGTGGCGTGGCTTTTTTCATTCAATCACCGATTTTTGAATTATCAAATATTGGCAAAATTTTTTTCTATACAGTCTGCAAACTTTTGATACTCCGAGCTCAGCACTAAAAAGATATTTCACTGTGTTCAGTTTTTGTATACAGATTTGAAATTAGAATTAAATTGAAGAATAGGATTGTGGTTATTATTGTGCAAGATATTATGTCTTATAAAAGTGTAAACGGCAAAATAAAACATTTCAAATTAAAATGAGGCAAGTTGCTCGTAATGATACGTTGCAATACGCAAAATCTATCATTTTGCTCTTCACATAGTGTGTGTGTGCGGGGGGGGGGGGGGGCAGAAAATTAAGGGAAAAATAAACATGCTACGAAATAAAACTCAATCAAAAAGATCAAAATCTTCCCGTTTTCTTTCATTTTCTTATAATTTCAACCTGTAAGCAAACATCTTAGAGAAACATATCATATTTAAACAGAACCCTGAACAGAAGCTTTTTCATTATTTTAGTTCTTCAATTCTTCCCACATGTTATTGTTGTTACAAAGGGATGTAATTACAGCCTGACCTAATAATAAAACCGATTGCCTCGATTCAAATTGGAATATATAAATCCATCGCTTACACGTGTCATAAGAACGCGCAAGAACAAGCGTTAATTATCCCAAATTGGAAAAATTATTTTTTTTCACATCCCCATAAGATTACAAAAAAAACTCAAAGCTCTAGCTTTGAGCTCCGGATAACAACACTTTTCAGATGATTTAAAAGTTTTTTTTTGTCTATTTTGCTTACTTTTGCTTACAAACCGACCCAGTCATAGATATTCCTTTTTCTTTGAAAGTCGGAAGATTAATATTCGCATCCTAGCTATCATATTTGCGTCCTAAGCTATATTTGCTAAATTTGCGTCCAAACTATATATTGGCCCAAAATCTTAATATTGTCTGTACCCAACTATACTTTATATGTCTAAGAAAATTCTTTGTATATCCAAAAGTTTTTAAATGTCTCAGTTTTATATTTTTTTGTTAGGTAATGGGATAAATAAGCTTTTTTTCTGATTTTCATAATTCTCCAAAAAACCATACAATAAAATAAAAAACTTAGGAAAGAATCGAAATTACTATGTTTTTTATTGTTTCAAATTGAGTATTCATCAATTGTCTACTTACGGCGACCTGCTTGGATATGGACGCATGAAAGGATCAGAACCAAAAGAGCAACGTAAAGGTACTTCATTATTTCTGATCAAAAATCACACTCGACACAGTTGGGCTAAAATGTTCAAAATAATGAATAACTGTAATTTAGTGGAACCTCTTTAATGGCGCTCAATTTTTATACTTTGCAACATGTTCTTAACTTGGTTTTGATTTTTATCTTGTTAAACAACTGTTAGCTCAGACAATTGGTTGAGTTTTCAATGTGGTAAAATATGTTTTTCTTTTTATTTTTTAAAAAGTAGATAAAAAGATCTTGAACTGATTTAAACAGTCAATTTAGTATAATCAGCATATCTTTTGAGCGCTGATGAAATGAATATGAAAACTTCATTGAAGTTTTATGATGACTCTTGAGAACTATCTGCACCGATAAAATTGTCAAAATGATTTTAAAGAAAACATCAAGTTTTAAAGAAATTAATAACTAGCATAATATTCAATCAATTAGGGCTTAAGAATGGAAATAAATTGGAAGTAATTCCTTTCACAATGATGATTCGCAAAAAGTAGTTCATTTTGATATTGAATAGTTTATACCAGCAAATCTGGCAAATGTTTCGGAAGTTTGTTTAATAAAAACACGAAGATAATGGGCTGAAATCAAAAATGATTAAATGAAGTAGTCAGCAAATTAATATCACATGATTTACACAGGCAATAATAGTTTTGCAGGAAATAATATATAATTTGAATTATTGCTTTTATCACATATATTATCTTATCTTAAGCTCTCAATGTAACGTCAAAACTGGTTGCTGTAACAAGATTGTGACCAATCACGTGACAATTTTCGTTGTAAGAAAATTTAATCGATGAGGAGTACTTAACGCGAACATTATTTTTGTTAAAAAACGTAATCAAAAACTTCAAAAATTCAAAAAGCAAAAATAATAATTTTTGCAGAGATTTCAATGAAAACAAAAAACAGGGTTTATGAAACAGTTTTAAAATTAATTAGGTTCAAAAAGCATTACGATGCCAAGATTTGCTTTGAATAGGCGTACAATTTGGTTTTTGTGGGTCACTGGAATCCGGAGACAAGTCTTTAAACATGTTCCAAAATATAAGTGGATTCCACTTACAAAGTTTCTGTGGATTCTGTCCACAAACACGTGTAATGTAAACTTTGTCGTTACATTAGTTATGTCACGAGTTCCGCAACCATTGAATAAAGCTAATCATTCTGGATTCCGAAAAAGTGAGAGAATTCCACAAAATATAAGCTAGAGCTTGCGTTAAAATCTAACAAATTCGAAAATTAGAAAGCAAGGACTTATCCATTTTCATTGTAGATCACAAACAAATCACAAGCGTTTGGTTAAAAGATTGTGACTGTCCCTTTTAAAAGTTTCCCAGCAAGCTGTTTTTGGAATCAAAATTACTTAACGCTGCATGTAGAAATCCTTTCTGTAAAACATGTAAAAGATGTGTAAATCATTGTGTAATTATTAACTTGATCTGATATCCTGGAACTCTGAATAATTTTTAATCATTTCACATGATATCTTGAATTTCGACATAAATCATGATTACTTATCCGATACCTTGAAACTCACTGTAGACATCCAGCAGCGAAACCATAGCTTTAATCAGAAATCTTGAAGTTTATACAGCAGTTCACCCGGTTGCATCTGATCCTGCAATTTGTAACTTTAGCTAGGATTGATTATCTTGCGTGCTGGATAAAAGTACCATGTATAGTTTTTTTAAATATAAAAATTTGTATAAGCCAAGCTAGACGCACATAAAAAACTCATATGTTCTGGACTAACTGTTCTGGACTAAATTTCTATTGCTCTGGGCAAATTGATCTGGACTAAATTTCCAAATAATTGCCTAATTATTTTGCATTATCACCATAACAGATAACTAATTTAAGCTGCTCTGGACGGTTCCTATCTCGTAATTGGATGAATTTTTGGTTTAGAATCACGCACTTGATCTCGAACTTCATAAGGAGTTAAATATATAATACTGGAAATCGCAAACAAAACTCAGATTACGCTCAAAGTTCTGCTTACAATTGACGATTCTGCTTACTGTTGCTTATTCCGCGAGAGCGCAGTTTACTATGCTCAGAAAATATTATTTGTTTGTGGATTCCAAAAACTGTTCTGGCTTCCGTTAATTTTTTTGCTTTTGGAGAAATTTGGAGCAACTGTGTTTAAGCTATTTGTGCATGGAACGAAGATGAAAGGAAACTATCAATGTTGCATATTCATTGACAAATCTGATTTTTGCTTAATGCGGAATCCGCCTAGATTTCACAAACTACACTCTTCCATCTCTCTTCCACTTTTTTAAACTTTTAAAAAAACGTAAAGTTGAAATGACCGTATTGTTGCCAAAATTTGGTTAAGAGGCAACGTTATGTGGTCAAAATTATTCAAAACTTTTCAATCTATTAAGAGCAACTGATTTTCCGAAAAAAAAATGAGAAAAAGTACTGTTCAATAAATCACAGCCTTTTTTTGGGAATGACATCCTCATGTTTTTTTTTCTAAAAGCTGCATTTTTACGTGTAGTTTTGCAATTTTGCATAACTTTTTTTGCAATAGGTTCCAAATTGGGAGTGGTCTCACTTTTGAGAATAGCCTAATTATAGTTTTTTTCTGTTGTCCTTTCGCCACGTAATGGAGTTCATAACCACTTTTATTAGCGTTCCAGCCTTGCGAAAAATGCTATAAGAACTAATTGACCCTCAACATGAGTGACTGTCTGAACAACTGTTAGAAAACGAATTAGAACAGCTATACTTGGACTAATTAGCTTGCCACGAACATATTTGATGGGTTAGTTTCTGAGCCGCACTATATAATGCTCATACCAATAGTGTATTGATTTCACAACTCCGTAATCTCCGGCACTGAAGTTTCATGGATAACAATCGATTATATTGGATTTTAATTGTCAGTCTCTATAAAATAACAAAAATAATAGATTATAATGGATTAAAAATTTATGGATAAAATATTGGCGAAACTCTCGCAATAACTTCTGCATGACTCATGGCCTACTCGAAATCTGAACTTACCTAATTTTATGACACCCGCCTAACCCACTACCCCTCCCATTTTCCTTTTCCTCTTCCCTCATTTTATGTCAGCGAGGAATTGTAAACGTAGGGGGTGCAAACGGTGGGGAAGAATGTCATTTAAACGTGAGGGAGAGGGAGTGTTGCTGTTACGAGGAGCGGGGGAGCGGGGTTGTCATTCCAGAAAACTTGAATTTCCATTTTTGTGCTGATTTTTTTTCGACTTCAGGTAAAATTTGGCAAAATTGAGTTTGCGCATGCCTGTCAGTTACTTCAACTAGTGGGATTTCTAGGCAGAATTGCGTTCCCGGGTTGATCAAAACTGCTAATCATACAATTCCATAAACTAAGTCATTGAGAAATACCAATCATGAGTTATGACCGAGTTGGTTAACTCATAGAGTAATTTCGGATAGGGTACACCGTCTGCTCGTCACGCTATCTTATTTTCGGCCGGATAGATTCGTGCAACTTCTTAGTCTAATACCGATCCTAATCTTACTCTTATACTATCTAGTCTCAGGTTGTTTAACTAGTCTCTGCTAGGCTCAATAGATCTAGGGTATACTGGTTTATTGCGGCTGCTGAAGTGCTCGGGAGAGTCCAACTAATTTCTAAGTTAAATTCAAATCTCTCTGGTGCTGAAATTACAAGTAACTTCAGCACTTACAAATAAGTGGGTTGTTAGTTAGATGGATCATGATTGGTTAATATTAAATACTTTACATTGGTAAAATATCTAATTTATCCAATCATAAAATGTAGTTTAGATCAGGTTCCACCCATCCGGGTTTTACAGAGTTTTTTAGAATAGTTCTTCTGCAATTCGAAGGATGGATGATGGACGTTGGTGTTTGGCGAACATCATATTTCTTCTGTTTCCTTTTTTGTTAAAGAAGTTCCAGGAAGCTGGAGTTAGAGACATAAGACGTTGTGTCTTCTAGTGACAACGACTAAGTCTTTGCAACAAACTCAAATCTGATTTCAGAATGGTTTGCTATGTCAGGTTTTTCTGTTCTGCGTGGAGATTGTGCGTGGAGGGGATGCCTGGTTACTCGGATCTGTACGTATACTTGAACATCGAGGTGGTCATTGGTCTAGTTCAATGAAGTCCTTTTCTGCGAAGTCAAGTCGTACTCTAAATCCTTTGAGTTGTGATTGTGAGTGGCATATCGATTGTGGTTGGTCATTCTCTCTCGAGTGTAGTGGGGTCGTTTTGTCTTTAGATGTTCGTCCTTGGTGTTGTATTCTGATCTATGTATTGCATAATGTAATTTACATTTTATAAAACATTTATTACTTTAAAATTTTTTAATTATGATTTTAGTTAGTTGTTTTCACAAAAGCTTTTTGTTTTAGTTCGGTTATTTTGAAGAGTTACTCACACTTGAGTAGCTCTTATTAAAAATAGAGGTGTGGTCACAAAGCGTGGATGTAGCGCGGTGGGTTAGGCCGGCTATAGAGCATGCTCAGGACGTCCTTCCTGGTGGGTTAGGCCAGGAGTGGGAGTATGATTTCATGCGGTTTTTGTGAGGGGTCCTGTTATGTGACAACGTTTTATGTTGGGTTTGTTGTGGTTTTTCTTATGTCTTGTTGGTTATGTCCTTTTTCCAAAAAGCAAATTGTTCGTGGTATGGGTTTGTCTTTCGACTTTTTTGTGTTTTATTATTTCTTTCTTAGACTTTATAATAGTCTTCAAAAGAATAAATTATCCAGTTTTAAACTGGGTTAATCCGGTTTGGGTACCGTTGGTTTCCTTTTCTTAGTCGTGCTGTTATTCTATGATTTGTGGTATTTAGTAAGCTGCGTTGGTTAGTTTTGTTTAGTATATGATTCCTTTCCAACCGGGTTAAAGGAAGGTTTGAAACATGTTATTATATGTTAGAGTTGTTTAGTGTGAAAACTTGAAACTGAAATTCATTATTTTAAACAATTCTTCGTGGGCGAGCTGTGCGAGTGTGGATAGAATTTCTGTGCGAATGAATGAGAATATCAAAAGGTTAGTACTGCATTTGCTTCTTATTAATTTACTGCATAGAATTTGGAAATTTACTGCTAGTTATGGGGGAATTTTAAGTTACAAATTTTCATCATAATTAGATTTACTGCTTGTGGGGAAAATTTTAGAAATGAATTTACTGCATTGGTATTAAATTTATAAATTTATAAGTGTAAGAGATTAATAGAATTGTTGAAATCTGTTTGATGAAATTTGCGATCTTTATTTGTTTTTTGTGGTTTTTGTAGGTGATCGTCGGATGAAGACTAAAAATCTAAAGAAAACATGGATAAAGAATGGTGAGTTTTTAATATTTTAATTAGTTAGTAATATTCATTTAATTCATACTTACCTGTTAGTCGTCGGGGAAAAAACCGTGGGGGAAGATGTCGTGGATTAGTTCTGAAGTTGTTAGTAGTTTAGCTAAGATGCGGATGATATTTTTAGTTTGAAGCAGTGGCCAAAGCAATTGAAGTGCCTTAATAGTGGTTAGTTCTTCAGTGCCAACTGCAAACTCATAAGGTGTGTTTTGGATTAGATTATATAATTTGTGATTGAATTTAGTGTTGTGGATGAATTCTAAAATTGGGATTTCTATAGGTTGTACAAACTCGTGCGGGATAAGGAAGGGTCGGGATTCTTCGGCGTTGAAGGTCTTGGTGATGGGACAGAAGATGTACATTTGGGTTATGGGGTCATAATTACGAAGAATACCATGGAGGTTAGTGTCTTTAATACAATATGTGAAATTTAGGAAAAATGGTGAAGTGTATTTGGAATTAATGAATTGAAAACTATGGTGTGGTTGTCTAGAGGGTGTGTGTAGGTCAAAGTGATTTTGGATGAAGCGATAATAACTATATGTGTGGGTTTGTTTAGTGCGCAACATAATATCGTGTGAGCAGTGTAAATCTCTTTCGTGTGGTGCAAGGAAATGAAAGGTTAGTGAAAATATTTGGAAGCGTTCTTTAAAACTTTCGTATGCTTGTGTGTCTGTTAGTGCTTCTGAAATAATGTGATCAAACTTTCGGTCGAAGATGTTTAGTGTAAATATATATGGTGTCTTGATGAAAAATTTCTCAGTAATTTGTGGATTAGCGAAGCGATCGTCGTCTAAGAATTGATCTTGGTTAGCTCTGATGATGTTGTGATCATAGTATTCGAGTGTATATTCGTTAGCTCTAGGTGCAGTGTGTGTTTTTAGTGATTTTTTATATCCAACGTAAGTAAATTGTCTAGCGGTTAGTGGTGTAGTGAGTCGATATAGCATGTCCGTATTTCGCTCTATATCGATGTGAGTGTTAGATAAAGGTAAGCAAAGAGGGTTAGTAAAATGATAATATGAGGTCCAAGAGAGGGTGGGCATTAAAACGTATTCATCTACAAAGTTGCGTGTTTCGTTAGTGTCGTGGGGGGTATTTAAGGTGTATTGTGGGAATGAGGGTAAAGTGATGGCTAAAAATTCTTTTGTGTTAGTATGCTTGGGGTGGTTGATGTATTCACGGGCTGTTCCTGGTTTTGCTGGGAAAGGATGGTTGGGGAACTTTC